GAAGACAGTGCCCTTGGGCCCTGCTCTGGCTCCATCCTACGTGAGCCACATCCGTCTCACTGTGCATCATTTCATGCCCTGCCTGAGCTCATGACTGGGGGGATCTCGCAGGTCTGGCTGTGTGGTCACTGCTGTCCCATGTGGTTCTGGATGTAACAAAGCCTATAAATACAGAAGGAGCTGTTTCCAAAATGTAAACAATTCTCTACTGCACGTGACATAGACTTGTTGCTAATCCCATGGGTCTACAGTAGGATTCTCCCCTGAAGTTTGCCTTAAGCACAGGGTTTCAGTTCCTGTGCCCAGTCCCCTGTTATGGTGGAGTCTGCTAGCTAGTTTCTCTGCCTAATAGCAGGACAGTCACATCCCCACCTGCACCTGCTGCAGAGCCTTTCTGCTCCTGGTCCCAAAACAACAGGTGACACAGTTCTCAGACCCATGATTTACGGTGTCAGTATTAAGGTCTCAGGGGTCCCTGTTGCTTCTCTGGCTCCAGGACTGGAAACACAGGCTCCATGACCATTTCTGGTCTCCAGGCTGAGGATGAGGCTGTTTATTACTGCAGCTCATATAGGAGAGGTGGCACTTCCCACAGTGGTCCAAGTTCATGGGGAATTGAGACCCAAACCTCCCCCTGGCTCTCTGGCTCTCCCTTGCTCTGAAGATGCTTCCTCATCCTGTGCGAGGGGCTTCCTGCAGCACGGCCTTGAGAATTCCTCTCTCTCAGCTCCTCTCCTTTCTCACCATGAAGTTCAAAAGGAAACCTGCTCTGTGATTTCTCATCCAGGACAGGGACAGCTTCCTTTTGCTTGCGTGTATGTTGTGGTCCTTGCACGTGCAACAATTCCTAGCTCTTCAAATGTAGGCACTGCCTGAGAAGAAGCTGCCTGACAGGTGCTGTCGCTGCTGTTTTTAGGGATGTCCTCACCCTAAATGCATCCCCATCTCCGACACTGTGCAGACCCCTCTTCACAGAAGTCATTGCAGGGAGTTTCAAGAAATCGCATCTTACTCCACTCTGAATTGCACCCGCCCCACCTCCTCACAACCATATATGCCACCTCTCTGTGTGGAGCCGGAGGGGTTCACATGTGGCACAGACTGAAGCCTAACTCCATGATCCCTGCCCTCCCAGGTGGCAGGCATTCTGGGGTCAGCTGGAGGAGGGAAGCTCCTGGGCTCTCTCTTCCTCACCAGCAGGGGGCAGCAGAGCTGCAGACGGAAGAGGCTGGGTCTGCCCAGGAGGAGGCTAAGAGGGAGGCCAGCCCTGAAGGCTCAAGTGGTGTCCAAGGATCAGTCCTGAGTCTGGAAGTCCAGTAAGGTGCCTCGTATCCCCTCGGGCTGCAGGAACCCCGTCCTGAGGGTCAGACTCACACAGTCACCCAGGACACTGACAGGAGCCCGGACACAGTGAGGGCCTCACCTGGGAAATGCAGCTGGCGGTGCTGGGCAGTGGTGCCAACATGGGCAGTTCCTACAGGGCTGGGATTTTCTGTGAGACACCACTGAGGTCGTGGTGCACTAGGAGGGGGGCACAGTGTGAGGGGCAGGGCTTCCAGGGCCAGAGTTCTTCACCCAGAATGTCTGCCTGAGCCTCTTGTCACTCTCAGGGTCTTGTCCCTCTCTGTCCAGCAGCATTCTGGGGAGCTGAACCCTCAGTCCTGGCACTTCCAGAGACCCCACACCTCTTCTGCCTCTGACTTTCCTTCCAACTCCAGACAGACTCTGACTCAGGGTCAGCTCCTGTGCTCAGGGGAGTCTCAGGTGGGTGGGGTGGTGCATTCATGGCCCTGGTTCCTGGATGGGGCATCCCCAGCCTCCTTGAGCAGATGCTCTCCACAGGGAAGGGGATCCTGTCCTGCCTCAGGCCACAGCTCTGGCCACCAGGTGGTCTTTGGCTCAGTGACAGGATACACCTCATTGCAGGGACCAGGGCCACCCACCCCGCAGAGCCCGTGCCCTGTGCAAAGGCTGTGTCCCTGGGATGCTCACAGAGGCCATGAGGCTTAAAGTGGATTTTCCATCAGTATTTCATATAAATTTGTAAAAAGCACAAGAAAACCACACTGGACTCAGAACCCTGGCGTTTTTCTGGTCCTTATTACAAGTTTACATAAAATACGGACGGGAAAAATAAATAAACAGTGGCAGAGCTGAGGATGGCAATGGCTGGTCTGCAGTTGGGATGGGGATGGCCTAGAAGGATCAGTGCCATGGGTGAAATGAGAGCAGACGTCCTGATGACTCCACATGTGTGAGTGGTTCCTTACATGACTCAACCATTCTCACTGAAATAGTTAACAGGTGTGCTAATGACACAATACATCATTTAGATAAAATGACCAGCATGGGACATTTCCTCCAGCAAGGAAGATAGTGGACAAAGTCATGAGCAGGGCTGGCCCAGCCCACCTGGATCTGAGACCCCTGGATCTGCGCCCTCCAGGCAGGCTCTGCAGAGGCGGCATCAAGAGTGGATTTAGGACTTGGGTGACCACGATGTATTGGCGTTTGGGGACTCAGTTGTGACTTAGGGAAATGGGACCTGATCTGGATAATCAGACCAAGGTGGAAATCCATCAGTTGGTCTCTGGATTTCCACAGGTCATGACAAGCCAGTCCTTGGCCTGAGTATCCTGGATCAGCCCCCAGAACTGCCCAGCTCAGGCTCAAGACTCAGCCTCAATATAGAAGGACCTGAAAATCCTCCCAGCTCCACAGCTCCCTGTAGGGTTGACAGAGGCCTCAATGTGGGTCAGAGTCTCCTTCTGGCCAGTGTTCCTCCCTCACCTCCTTTCACATCCTCTGTGCCTGCAATTCTCCATCTCAGAGTCTGCCTCCAGGGAACGCGAATGAAGATAAGCAGCCATCCCCAACATGAGCCATGCGGGACCTGAGGAGGCCTCTGTGCACTGGAAAGCACCAGTTTATTCCTAAATTAGCATTGTGGGTATCAAATGCCCAGTGACATCTGAATCTTTCTTGCATCTATGTGGAATGAAAATGAGTCTGACTTGCCAGGTGCTCTGGGATCCAAGGGGGAGTTGGAGTCAGATCTCCCTGAAGGGAAACCCGGGGCATGAGGAGCAGTCTCACCCCACACAGGGACCACAGATGCACCTACAGAGTGAGCTGCAGAATGGGCACTGCCCACCTCTACCCTCCACGTCCTGTGCAAAAAATCATTCTTTTTACCCCTCCTTCAGCCTATCAAATTTGACACTTAAAAAGCCACCAGGATCCATCCTTGTCAACAGGAAACCCATTGACATCTCCATCAGCCACACAATGTCTAAAAATGATTCACAAAATAATAACAATAGCCATGAAAAGTATACGAAATGTCTCATAAATAATTGTCCTTCGATTATATATGAAAGTGATACTATTTTTGATATGCTAGATAAATAAAACATATTACTTAAACTCATTTACTTCTTTGTATTTCTAATGCGGTGACCAGACAGTGGGATTCCCACGAGGCTCACATCATATTGAGGCTGAACAGTGCTGGTTCTCCCCCTCCAGGGTACAGGGGCTGTGGATTGACCTGGTGCAGGAAGCCCCATGTCCACCCATAGGATATTCTTGTGAACCCAGGGAGAGGCGCTGGTGTAAGAGAGATGAGAACACAGCGGTGAACCACTGCTTGTGCAGGGGACTGAGCCTTCACTTTGAGCCAAAGAAGTTTCCTTTCCTCTCTTCAATCCTGAACAAGAGGGCTTTCTGGACTTCTTTTTGTTTTCAGGTTTGTGCCCCTTCATGTTTGGGGCTGTCTGGAATCCCAGCCAGGGGACACGGAGGAAATCCAGGAGGCTCACCCTGACTCTGTTGAAGTTCATCTGCTGGTGCCATCCCAAACTGCTGCGTACGGCGATTTCCTTTCCTGGTGCTCAGACAGCTGCTCCATGCACTTGCCATGGTTTCAGAGATGAATCCAGGCGGGAAGACAGCATAGTGTATGTTATAATATTTAAATAAAATCTCAACCCATTAATATTTATTTTAATTATGCAACATTAAAAAAATTTTCATAGGCATTGGGGAAACATGAAAAGAGATTAAGAGTATTTTGAGGAAGAAACCAAAAATGTATTTATCAAATGTCTGTGTGTCTTCAGCGTTCAGGGTTGAGAGCGGTCAGCTTTAGTTTGCCCTGACGATGTGCTCAGACGGGGGAAAGCAAGAAAGCAGGAAACACGCATCTCTGTGACATGACACGTCAATCACAGCAAAATCGAAATAAATCTTTCAATAAATCATTCACAGTATATATCACTGTGGTGCACACAGAAAGGCCTCTTGGCAAACTCCCTTTGTCCTGCTGGGTCATATCCCCATGGATCACCCGTGTGCAGAGTGGACTCTGTGGTCCCCATTTCTCAGGCTAAGAACCAGAGGGTGGGAAGGACGAGTCACCTGCTCGTGAGTGGGAAGGGCAGGATTGGGAGCAGCAGATTCCGGCTCAGGGCTGTGGCCCTGTCGGGGCTCCCTGTTCCCTCCACAGGGTCCCCATCACATTTCCCCGTGTGGGTGTGGGTGCATTTTCTGGGGTGGCTGACATGCTCCAGGGATTCGGTGCTGCAGATGCCTCAGCACAGAGTGTGGGGTGGGGCTAGGCATGGACCAGGCTGCAGCTGGGGAGACCAGAGACCAAGGACACCCAGCAGAGACTTCCACGGGGTGGGCAGCCCCATTCCTGACAGTAGAGACAGCCTGGAGGTTGGTGCCCAGCAGAGGGCATTGCAGGGTGTGCCCAATCCTGGGAGTCACAGACACAGACACCACACAGCAGAGACACCAAGGGTCAGGAGGTCACTCAGGTGAGAGGCGTCCACAGATCTTTCTTTCCTGAGAAAATCAGGTACAAAAACATTAAATTCCTGCCATCAGAATAGACAAACAAGGGCTGTAATCTTTTCACATGAGTTTCACTGTCCAGAGAAATAGAAGTCTCTGAGCCGGAGCCCAGGCCCAGGCAGGGGTGGGGTGAGGAGAGGAGCTCAGATGCAGATTTGCATGGAGGCTCCGCCCTCCTCTGAGGCAGAGTGAGTAAGACAGGGCTGGGGCCAGGCCCAGTGCTGGGGTCTCTGGAGGCAGCGCTCTCAGGACGTCCCCACCATGGCCTGGGCTCTGCTCCTCCTCACCTTCCTCACTCAGGGCACAGGTGATGTCTCCAGGGATGGGGCCTCAGAGACGTCTGGCTGATCCTGGGTCTCCTCCTCAGGCTCACCTGCGCCCAGCACTGACTCACTAGAGTGTGTTTCTTCCTCTTTCCAGGGTCCTGGGCTCAGTCTGCCCTGACTCAGCCTCGCTCAGTGTCTGGGTCTCCTGGACAGTCGGTCACCATCACCTGCACTGGAACCAGCAGTGATGTTGGGGGTTATAACTATGTCTCCTGGTACCAGCAGCACCCAGGCACAGCCCCCAAACTCATGATTTATGATGTCAGCAGTCGGCCCTCAGGGGTCCCTAATCGCTTCTCTGGCTCCAAGTCTGGCAACACGGCGTCCCTGACCATCTCTGGGCTCCAGGCTGAGGACGAGGCTGATTATTACTGCAGCTCATATACAAGCAGCAGCACTCTCCACAGTGGTCCAGGTTCATGGGGAACTGAGACCAAAACCTTCCCTGGGCTCTCAGGCTCCCTCCTTGCTCTGAAGATGCTTCCTCACCCTGTGCCAGGGGCTTCCTGCATTGCTGCCTTGAGAGTTCCCCTCTCAGCCCCTCTCCTTTCCCACCATGAAGTCCATAAGTGAACTTGCTCTGTGCCTCTCATCCAGTACAGGGACAGCGTCCTGATGCTTGCGTGTTGTGGGCTCTGAATGTGCAACTCTTCCTAGCTCTTCAAATGCAGGGACAGTGACAATGAGCTGCCTGATTGGTGCAGTCACTGAATTTTTTCGGGGATGTCTTCACCCTAAATGCATCCCCGTCTCCCACACCGTGGGTAGAAGTGTAGCCAACATCCTTCTGATCGCATCGCCACAACTTCGATCTTAGAACAGGGCAGTGATTGATCATCCCTATGCAGCCTCCTTTGAGTTCACGTCTGAATATGACCATAAGGTACATTTCTAAAAGTGAAATTGCTGGCTCAAAAAGATGTATGTTTGTAATTTTCATCCACTGTGGACCCCTTGTCCACATCCTCTGAGGTGGCAGGTGCTACAGGTCACCTGGAGGAGGGACGCTGGTGTTGTGATCACTTCCACCAGCAGGGGGTAGCAGAGCCCCAGCCAGGGGCAGCCAGGAGACAGGCTGGGGATGCTCAGGTGGAGCCTAAGAGGGAGGCCAGACTAGGGTTCAACAGGTGTTTAAGGATTAGCCCTCAGACGAGAAGTCGGGACGGTGCATCGTATCCCCTTGGGCTGCAGTAACCACATCTACAGCCCTGCTCAGTATGGCCCAGGACAGACCACAGGACACAGAGGTTTGGGACAGGGGCCATGTTGTCACTCCCCAGGAAGGTGACTGTGATCACAGGTCTTGGAGGCCAAGGCTGATTTCTGACTAGATACGCAGATGAAGGAAGTTGAGGACTCACCATTTCTTTTT